ACAGATAGTAGTGGAATTTATTCAGAGCAAATACGATTGCAAGCAATTCTTTCTTGGTGGCACTGTATTTGCGTTCTCTTTCTTGTAGAGAGCGTGCCATGAAGGAAATATAATTGATGTCCTTCGGGTGATCTCTACCGCGAGGTAGTTGGTATAAGACAGCACCGATGCCAACATCTGAGGCATCTGTTGCAACGTAAAATGGTTTGCTAAAATCAGGGAATGACAGTATTGGTGCATGTGTCAACAGATTTTTCAGCGTATTAAATGATTGTAATTGTTCCTTATTCAGAGTGAATGGCTCAGTTCGACTACGAAGCGCATCCAAAGGTGCTGCGACTTCACTGAACAGGGGAATATACTCCCTGAAGAAATTAAACGTGCCAAGGTATGACTGGACCTGTTTTGCCGTCTTTGGCGGTTCCCATTCATTGATATTTGCAAATTTGGTTGGATCTACGCTCTTTCCGTGTAGTCCGATTATGAAACCCAGCAACGAGATTTGCGTGCTGAAGAAGTTGCATTTGTCGCGATTGATTATTAATTTGGCTTCATTGAGCCGTTTGATTACGGTCCGTACATGCTCGGCATGTTCATCTCGATTCTTGGAGAATATCACAATGTCATCAATGAAATTACAGACGAATGGAAGATCGCCGAGGATCCTCGACATTCCCCTCTGAAAAAGACTGGACAACGGCTTCAGTCCAAAAGGTGCTTTCTTGAACATGTGTTGTTTGCCATTGTGCATGAGCGCAGTCAGCGGTTGATCATCCTCATGGATTGGGAGACGATGGTACGCCTGAGAGAGATCAATTGTAGTGAATATGGAGTTACCCGCTAGACGTGTGATTATGTCATTGATTAGAGGCAAGGGATAATTATCATCCGGCAGATGCTTGTTCAGCGGTCTGGGGTCAAGGCAGACTCGCCATAGCGTCTTCTTGCCATGTTCATCTTTTTTAGCAGCAAGTGTGAGGGTATTGTTATGTACATTGCCTACAGGGGCCAGCGTGATCACATCGTCACGTAGCCATTTCTCGATTGTGTCCTCAAAGATGCTCATTTGCTTTTCGGCGAATGGTCGAGGCCTTCTGAATAGCACTGTACCCTCTGGGATTGGTAAATAGACTTTCATTTCAGGTACGGGACAGAAAGTAGTCTTTGGAATGTTCGCGTTTTCCGCGAGATATTTTTCGATTTTCGATAGAAATTTCTTTTTCATTCCCAAAAACGCATTAGTCTTTTCTTCGTCGGGTTGCTCACCAGGAACAAGAAATGGTTTTTTATCCTCTTCCGGTTCAGGCAGTTGCATCGCATCGTCGCCGGGATTGGCGAGACCAGAGATGCTAAAACCGAATTGGTGGAAGAGATCCATCCCGATGATGAATGGATAGGACTGAGTAATTACCTCCATTGGTGCTGATACTATTCGCGTACCATATTGCAACTCAATGTTCTCCGTTTGACCAATTCGAGGGATTGTTTGGCTTTCGTCAGCCAGTGTGATGACACCTTCAACGGGATTGATTTGTTTATTGTGCTTGATGGCAATGTCTTGCCGAATGCAGGTGTCGGTTGCGCCTGTGTCTAGTAACGCATCATATTTTTCATCCTCGAAGGTGACAGAGACAAGTATTCTTCTATCAGCCTTCTCTTTGTTTGTATTCAATTTTGCCAATTCAATAAAGTTGTCTTCTATTTTCTGAAGAGACGAAACCCGTATCTGATTTTTTCCGTATTCAGGGGCTCTGGATTCCATTCTTTCGGCTTCTTTTTCCTGCCGATACAATTCTTCAAGATCAATTGACTCAAGATGGCCATCAACATGCAAACACGCTAACGTACGAGGACGCGTTGCAAGGTGCGGCTGTTTATCAAGACTAACTTCAGACTGCGCTAAAGCAGGATTCATTGCAATGCGCGGCTGCATGTGAGAAATGATTTCAAGCTGCGCCGGAGTATTAGTCTTGTCGTACAACGCAAGATTGGGCGTTAGACTCAACGTTCTCCTTTTTTGCATCGGCGTTCCTTTTTCCGTTGCTGTTCGTTGCCGAATATTTTTCTGGCATTTTCTATTCCTCGTTTTCTTGTTCGTACTAATTCCATTCAATGCGGCATTTTGTGTATTGTTACAAATATTCAAATTTATTTTGACATTTTTGGAGTTGTTATTTCCATTGCTTTTGGAAATGTCGTTGGTATTTCCGTCATCGTTGCCATCACTGTCTTCGGCCATTGTACTGGAACTTCGCTGGGCGTGCTCCTGTGATGTATAAGACAATAGACGGGCATTCGTATTAGATTGATTATTATTATTCATCGCCTTTTCTGAGGTCAAGGCATAGATGCATGGATTGATCGTATTCGATTCATTTGATTCATTCTTACCACTAGTATTGGTAGATTAGTACACTTTTCCTTTACAGTCCGCTGTCTTGTGCCCACTGCGGTGTAGGGGGTCTACTAACGGGTTCTATAACTTCTACCATTAGTTCTATTTACAACGGGAGTTACCACGCGAATAGGACTTCGGCAAGGCTGTGCTTCGGTCACTTACTGGTTCGTGGTGCAGGGTCCTCCTTTAGATCGGAATGTAAGAACACAAAGGTAAAATAGACTAGACGTAAATGGAAAGGAATAAATATGGGGATCTATTTAGCTAAATGGTGCGAGCTAGGACTATATTCCTTTGGGAATGACTGGGGTAGTTGCAAGGAGTTCGCATATTGTGATGTCCGATGAGGTGAGGAGTCGTGACAATGAAGTCCACCCCTCTGGAGTCGTTGTATGCCAATAGTTGCTGATCAGGCCTCCGTTGTACCTTTATAATGCCGTTTCACGAGGGTGGGCCGATGACGGATGCTCAATGAGACGATCGGTAATCGGGGAAGCGCTGCGGGGCAAGTACAATGTCTAAATAAGAGCGATTGACGGCGCAAAGGTGGCGAATGATCAGGATCGGCATTCCCTGTTGATTGTATCTCGTTGCATGGGTTGCTGACGGTGGTAGCCAGTACCTGTCGTTGATGCGGTGTTATCCGGACAATCTGGACGAATACAATGCGTGATACAAATGATTTTGGTGGAAAGAAGACTGTGGTTCAGGTACCAGACCGTTTATTCTTTTATTCTGGGGGCGGTGCTCTTCCCTGTGATCTAATATTAACTTTGCAAGAACAACCAACTGATTCTCATTTACTACACCACACCACGACGATGGCAGTTCTCGCACTCGAGGTGCCCATCCGTGTTATGCGAATAATTGGGACCGCATTTGTGGCACTGGTACAGAGGCATGGACTGGGAAGATTGGTGACGAGACGTGGCAATGGGAGACGCCGAGGATTGCGGCGTTCCTTTTTGCGTGGGTCTGTGACCCTTTGGCGTGAACCGTCTCGCCGAGCCATTTCTATTGTTTCGGAACGGACCTGCATCAGAAGAGTCAGTCTTGATTCTGTCATGGGGTTGATTGGGACCCACGAGGATGCTGAGTATTTTTATAAAAGCATTGATTGATGTAAATCTCGTCGCATCTTTATTATCCATGGCCAATCGCATGATCATCAGGTTGAGCGTGCCGGGCGTAACCGAACCGCACAAGAGAGAAAGAACAACTTCATTGTCATTCTTAATCCCATAAACCCTGATATCGCGAGAGATGCGCATAGCGAATTGACGATAAGACTCATCCTTTTTTCTGCCTGATTTCACCAGGTCCATCATTTGATTAATGCGCTCTTGTTCTGTCAGCGCGATTTGGAGAAAGATAGCCTCACAGCTATCCCAAGTCAGTGTCTCTTTGGCTCTCTTCTTGAATTCTTCTTCGAGAGCCTGTCTGTGATAGTCACTCGAAGTCAAGTACAAGAGATAGCGTGCACATGTCTGCGCAAAGACATCATCACCAACATAAGTGCTGACTTTAGATTTCACATTATCCAGGAACGTTCTGGGGTCACCGCCAGCTTTAAAGCGTGGCATATCATCGTTTATTTTCAACGCGAATGGACTCTTATTGTATTGCTGAACGTTACCTTGGTGGGATTGATTAATTGGGCCACCACGGACAATGGGTATTCTGGGATTCTTGAGAGAGGCCACGTTTTCGATTGATCTAACAAGCATATCTATTTTTTTTGTCGACTGCTGTCAACTGCTTGGTGGTCTCCTCATAATTTTGCTGATGGTTGGCGTTCTCGGCATTATCATCGGCAGTGGTTACCAGCCGAACGAGGTACGCCTCACGCTCCACCAGAAGTTTTCTTTGCGCCTGGAATTTTTGTAACAGCGCGTCAATGGACAAAGGCTCCTCTACTAGAGGTGATTCTTGCCTGTCCTCACTCAAGGGGGGGCTAGACCCTTGGTCAAATTCGTCGACTTCCATGGCTGAGCCATCATCAATCAGCTGGGTCGAAGGGGTAGTTTCAAAGAGGGTTTTGTCGTTGTTGTTGTTCATGGTGTAAGAAGGTGAGCGTGTGTGTGTTTTTGTGTGTGTTTATGTGTGTGTGTGTGGATAAAGCTTCACCTAAAAAAATGAGATGTGGCTCCACACACCACACCGATTAGGTATTTATTTGTATTAAATATAATAGTGAGCTGGAGGTACACTTGTTAAACTAAATATACAGTGAACTCTGGTGAAATATGCGACACCGCCAAAATTACACGCCAATTCTTTGAGGACAATGATTACGTGGTTCTCATGTAGCCACCCAACTCTCCGGACTTGAATCCTATCGAGCATCTCTGGGGGCACCTAAAGAGGCTTCTTGCGAAGTATAAACACCCTTCTGACGGTATCCCGAAGCTCTGGGAGCGTGTCCAAGAAGTTTGGAATAAAATTGATCAGTCGCTGATCCAGGCGCTCATATCCAGTATGCCGCGACGCATCCAAGCGGTCAAAGCGGCCGGCGGACGACACACCAAGTACTAGAAATAGAAAGTGAAGGGTTATCATTAGATTTGAGCGAGAATTAGAGAATATTATATTTTTTAGCACGTGCAGGAGGAATTGAGTCAATACACCGCTACCGCAAGATGTGCGATAAAGGAAGATAGAGATATCCATTACGCCTGAAACGCCTAAATAATATTCCTAGATGACTTCGCCATCTTTGAAAAGCATTATAGCATCCTACGGCACGTACAGGCGAAGAAATTAAAAAAATTATGCCGAGATAAAAAACATTGACTCAAATATTATTGTCACTGTAAATAGCCCCATAGATCATAGCCATAGCCATAGTTCCTCAGTCTGCAATACAAAACCTCCTTGTCTTGAACCTGCTCTCGCTCATTTATTTGCACGCTACTCTCGTTCCTATCTATCTGCCTGCCCAGAACTTGACACAAGTGTCACGAATTAAGGTTGAGGACACACTTGCGCTCACCTCAATTGACCCTAGTGGCTTGTGATTGCCTCGCGTCTGTTACGCGAGTCCAAATCACGTCGCGTCTCCAGAATTACCCCACATGGAAAGCATAACTGGTTTAACGTTGCTTGCCCGTTCCAAGCAGACGATTGCCCGCGTCCACCCTTGTCCATTCCATTATGTTTCGGTCCCGAGTACGGGAGCTTATAGGACATAAGCTACCGAGCTGGGGTCCCGAGTCAAGTTTTATTCACATATAAAAGACATAACTAGCTGCCCTAATCAAACCCCAGTCTGCAATAAAATACTTTCCTGCCCTGTACTCACTCTTTACGAAGTATATATGAACCAGGAGTCAATGAGAACAAGAAGGGATCTTTAATATTAATCCACCGAGAACATTATATGTTACAGTATGGAGCAAAACTGATTCAATGATGCGATGATTTTTGCGTTGGCACTCGCCTACAAGGAACCAATGCCTCAGCCATCGTCATATTCACCACAAATGTAGCCCAGCCAATGACGAACAGGGTTGCTTGCTTTGGAGCCAGAAGTATGCACACCCATTGCTGCATGACGATTGTGCCATCCGTCATCATTGAATCAGTTTTGCACCTACTACTTGAATACGAAGAACAGATTTTTTTTTTATTCAAAATGGTACCTCTTTAGTACTTAGTTTGCTTGCCCTTCGCTCTGTGGACCGCGCTGAGCCTCCTCGGCATGCTCCTGATGAGTTCCCGGCAGAAATCAACTGGTATCTTGTACCATTCCGTTGATATTCTCTCCCATAGCTCCTTGCAGCTTTTTGGCGGGTTTGGATACTTTCCCAGCTGTACTTTGAGATAGGCCCACATATGCTCGATCGGGTTCAGATCAGGAGACTGTGCTGGCCAATATAGAAGGCGCTCATCAGCCTCAGTCATATGGACGGACTCCAGAAATGCCTTGGTGACCTTGGCCGTATGCTTCGGATCGTTGTCGTGCTGGAAGATGAATTCGTCCTTGGCCATGCCCCACTCCTCGACAGACATCTGTAGATCCTCCTTCAGAATCTGGATATACAACTGGGAGTCCAGGGTCTCATCGATCTTTGCGATATAGCCAGGTCCGTACCATGACATACAAGACCATACCATGACGCTTCCGCCGCCAAACTTGACTGTTCCCTGGACTGTACGGCTTGTCAGTCGCCCCGGCGCGTCGTCCCAGACCCACCTAATGCCATCAGAACAGATCCTATTGATTTTGCACTCGTCTGACCATACAACTGTGGCCCAGTCCTCTTCCGTCCACTCTTTGTATTTCTTGACAAACTGCATCCGACCTCTAATGTGCTTTGTTTTGAGTGCTGGTCGCTTGACAATCTTTTTGGCCACTAGTCCAGCTTCCCGAAGTCGCCGTCGAACTGTCCACACCGATACAGGTCGTGCCAACATCCTGTTGGCCTCGCTCTTGGCCTCCACGGCAGTCCTAAGAAGTCCGCGCTTCATGTTCAGCTTGAGGTGCTCCACGGTTTCTTGACCAATCTTTCCCGGACGGCCTCCCTTGTTGCTCGGTATGTTTTCTTTGTAACCTGAACGTATTCTGCTAGCCGTTGCCTGAGAGATGGTAAGACGTTGGGCTGTCTCACGAGTGGAAATACCCTCAGACATGAGGCTTATTGCTTCCTTAACAGTGGATGGAGGTACGGGCTTCATTTTTTGCGGATAGATAGAGTAGAATAAGGCAAACAGGAAAACGAAACACAAAATGGGTTCATTTATAATGAATCTGATGAAAATGACGATGGTATTTAAAATTACATAAAAATGAGGTTAAGATGCAAAACTGATTCAATGATGACGGATGGCACAATCGTCATGCAGCAATGGGTGTGCATACTTCTGGCTCCAAAGCAAGCAACCCTGTTCGTCATTGGCTGGGCTACATTTGTGGTGAATATGACGATGGCTGAGGCATTGGTTCCTTGTAGGCGAGTGCCAACGCAAAAATCATCGCATCATTGAATCAGTTTTGCACCATACTGTATGTGAATATACGTGGGATATCCCTGACGCAGTGATACGGTTGTTGCTTTTATTAATCTCGTGTTACGGAGGACAGAGTCGCTGCCGAAGCGCACGGAAAAAAAAATCTCGAAAGATAAATAGCAATATATGTGGATGGATGAACCACTCCAATGGATCGATCCTTCTTGGATTCGTGAAAAAAAATGCGATAAATTAAGGTTTATACAGTCCACTGAAAAAGTGTTAGCATGTTTTGCTATTTTGGACTTATACTCCTTTATCTCCCTATTACGCTATTACCAAGGACCGAGATGTTTGGTGGACAATGTCGTAACTTACAAGGAGTTTTCTAGAATGTTCCAGGCTTGAATGGCCTTCAGCTGAGGAACGAAGGATCTCGAAAGTCATGAGGTGCACTCTAACACTTTTTAAAAATCCTATAAATTGTGCTCTTCCCTTACGGTCTGCATCCTCACTCGCAACTAGAACAATACAACTGCACAGTTATCCACTACTCCCATCCTACGCCACATTCATCCCAAGTTTACATCAAACATGAAGCGGCTGCAAGAACAAACCGTACGCGATGCGATTATCCAACTTCGGCAAGGAAAATCTGTCCGCGAGGTCTCAAGGTCCTTGCATATCTCTACTTTCTCCGTTTCCAAGATTCGTCAAAGGGACAAGAAGAACGTTCCATCCCCTAAAATAGGGCGTCCTTCGAAGGTTTCGAAGAAGACCAAGACCTTACTTGCTCGTCATTTCGTCACAGGAAAAGCCGTAACCCTCCGCGATGGCCAGCGACTTATCCAATCGGTGCAAGGAGTGCAGGTTCATGTAGGCAGTGTCCAGAACTACCTTAAACAGGAGGGCTTAAAAGCATACGTCCAGCCTAGGAAGCGTGATCTGACACCGGATCAAATCAGAGCACGCTACGAATTTGCTAAGGCGCACTTGAAATGGACCGTGGACGACTGGAAGAATGTGATGTTCTCGGACGAAACTATAATCAGCAGGATTGGGTCCTTCGGCAGGACATTCTATTACAAGAAGCCCAACAGGAAGGATATCCAACCTCACCAAGTGCAGAAAACAAAGCAGGGCGGAGGGGGCCAAATTATGGTCTGGGGTTGCATAACATTTTATGGCTTGGGCGATGCCTGCTGGATCCCAGGAAGTATGGATGCACAAACCTACCTCGATGTACTGAAGGACTATCTTTGCGCATCTCGGGATTGGTTTGGTATGGATCCAGCAAAATTCATTTTTCAGCAGGACAATGCCAAAGTGCATACAGCAGGCATAGTCGAAGACTTCCTTAGGAAATCCAAGATCGCAGTCATGGAATGGCCTGCGAATTCTCCGGACCTCAACCCGATCGAGCATCTATGGTCGCACCTCAAGTACCGACTTGATCAGTATCCAGAGGCACCAAGCTCTTTGGACGACCTCTGGGAGCGTGTTCAGGATATATGGACAACAATAGATATCAAATTCATTCACGAGCTATATGAGAGCATGCCCGAGCGCATGAAGAGGCTTCACGCAAATAAAGGAGGCCATATCGATTATTAATGGCAGAACAGTAGCTAAC